TACCTGGCACACCTGATGTCACAGTGTCCATGGATCCACTGGAAGAACGTCTCCGTCTATCTTTCTACAGTCAATTTTTCAAAAGAGCTCGACATTTTAAGATATTCTTAGAACAGGGTGCTTCATATGACAAAAGCTTGTATATCATTAATTAGGAAAATTAAAATCTATGAAAACCAAATAAAATAGAATGTGTATGCAGCAGCATTTCTGTCGAAAACCACGAATCGTGGGATGGTGCTCAAATTCCAGAGCTGGTCGCTATTAGCATCCAGATGCAAGTCGATTTCGAAGGACATCCACATCCAATACAAACAACAGCAAGCGGGCCGTTGATGATTCGATTAAGTCGGAAAGTCGCATATCCATTCGCGCGCTTTTAAAAGATCTCGACATCGACAGCATGCAACACATCATCCGGCAGCAGTTAAGCTTCCGTAAGGTCTGCATACCCCGTGTGTTGAATTTTTAAAAAAATCAAAAAATCGGATGGCTGTTTACTTGAAACACATGATGCGCTTCGACTTTGATGGCAACACGGCTCTGAAGCATATTGTTGCAAGGCGGCGAAAGCTGGTGCCACCACCGGGAATCTGAGTCAAAAGTAGTGCAGTGGTGCCATGCAATAACCTCTTCATCCCAAGAAGTTTAAGTGCCATTCTGTTGGAAAAATGATGCTTATCCTGTTCTTTGGTTACCAGGGCACATTGTTTATTGATTTCAAGGATACATGTATCTCTATGACTGGAAAACGATACCACGAAACCGCAGGAGGGATTACGACCGCTCAATTAAAGCAAATGTCCCGGATAACTGCGAAATGGGGTGATTCTGCTTCTTTTATCGCAAACGTTGTAATGCAGAAATTACTCTCACTAAAATGGGAGTTACTCGAGCACCAGTCTTACTATTCTGGTCTCTCCCCATGCGATTTTCATGCCTTCAGCCTTTTAAAAAATTATTTGATAGGTTTACGGTTCCTATCTAACGCAGAAGTGCAGCAGGCAGTCTCGGACTTCTTCAAGCAGTAGAAAGAGGAGCTTTACCAAAAGTACATATCCAACCTGGTGAAGGAGAAGGATGATTGCCTAAATGCTCAAGGTGATTTTGCATGACTGGCATACCAATTCTAGGGCCTGATGGCCGAGTGACTAGCACTTTGTCGCGCGGGGCCACAGTTTCGGGTTCCAGTCCCGGCGGTGCCATAGATGTCTCTTGTCTAGAAATCTGCCAGCAGACAAACGGCATTGGCCCACCATGGGGCTGTTGCGTCACTGATGATGATGATGATGGCATACCAATTCTGTAAGGCCTTCGAACTGGAACTTTTTGATCGCTCCACGTAACACATGGAATTCATACTACTTGTAGGTGATTACTAAGGTGTAATAGGAATCACCACTCAACAATATAAGAGAAATTCAGAAATTTGAGCATTTTTATCCTATTAAAACAGGCGCTAGCAAACTAACTCGTGGCGTAGTGAATAAAGATGTGAGTTTTACCTTCTGTGGAATTCTCCTTTTTATTTTAATTTCTTACGTTACACTCATTATAACAATGGAAAATTAATAATTATTTTGTATAAAAAAAGGTAAATATGTATATTTATCCATTGTCCTAAATAAACGGACTTTTGGACTTATAGCACTTAGACTCATTTTGCAATAATGCAAATTGCTTTTTTTTTTTAGTCCCTGAAGATGTACTTTCATTAACTATCTCATTTGACATTACTATATTACTTAAGGCATTTTCTTTTTCTATTTCTTTTCTTGTTGTTTTTGTTTGCTGTCCTGTAATTCCTCGCAAATAAATTATTCCAATGAGAATTCTAGTTTTTTAATATTATATTTATTCTGTTCCAAGTTTTCCTACTCCAGTAGATATATATTAGAGTAGATATTAGATTCATTAGTTGATATTATATTAGATTTTAGTCCGTATGCTGCAAACGTTAATATTTTTCTATGAACACTTGTATATGAAACAACAAGATTTGACGACAATAAAAAATTAAGATTTAAGAAGGATTCTTTTTCTTTTTGTTTAATAAAAGAAAAAGAAATATATAAATGAAAAAATATATATAAATTTATTTCTAGCTCTAAAAACTTATTAACTACTCATTAACTTATTAATTACTAAACTTATTATTAACTCTTAAACTTATTAATTATTAATTAAACTTATTAGAAACCGACTCCCGACTTATCTGTAAAATAATTTCTTTTTTTTCACCAAAATGAAGTGTTAAAAGACTTTTTTCAACAGTTAGACTTATGCTTTAGCTTATACTTTTTTTCAACTCTTAGGTATACTTGAATGCAAAAGGGAAGAAGATCTCATAGAAGCTATTCTAGAAGAAAAAGAGTAAAAATGCATTGAATAGCCCTATTCGTGTCCCAATGGTACGTGCTCAGCTAACATGTATAGGAGTACTCAGTTAGTCTGCTGTATTTTTTGGTGCATTGGTTGTAGTCACTGCTTTCAGAAACAAGAAGACTCGATGGATATTGTGACAATGGGCATAAAGTATCTCCCATTGATATTCAGGCTGTCGAATGAGAATTTTCGAGCTTTCCCTCTTACGACATACAAATGCGGGGAAGTTACCCTAAAAATCTTCCAAGAAACCAATGTCCTCTTGTCGTCACCCGTCGGGGGCTGTTCGTGGTATACATAAGTGTAACATGAAGTCCACAGATGTCACACACACAAATGTATATATATATATTACGAGTATAACATGTTTGTAGTTAAAGTGTACATTTTTGTTTTCTCATCTTCAGCTATTCTATAATACTTTCACACCTGTTAATTTAGTGCTGTTATTTTTATATCTGTTATTTTTTTTCAGAAAATTTAGAGTATAAGGACGTTTTTCAAGTTTGTGCGAATGCTACAATCAAAAAAAATTTTTTTTAAGTATTTTGAAAAAACTGTTTTTATAGATTCAAGACTTTTATTGAACAATTGAACAATTTATTTCACAAATTCTTCTAAATCCGTTATAAAATACGTATTATAACAGTACGGAAAAGAATCAGGGGTGGGTAAAAAAAATTCGACTCCAGAATCAGGAGTCGGAAATTTTTTGGCCAGAAATTAATTATTTGCGCTAAAGCTATTAATTTCTACTAGTCTAATAAATAGTAACTAAAAAAAAGAACATACAACTCTGGTATGAATGAATGATGCCCTTATTATTCCATCGCATCATACTTAAATCATCATCATATACATCATAATAAATAATTATACATCATACTAAAAAGCTATCCACGTCAGTTCTTAAATGCTGCATCATTATACTAACAATTACATGTATACATTTTAAGTTTTTGTGTTGTTTTATATAATCTGTGAATCGGTACGATTCATCGGAGTTCCTTGGTCGCGAAGCGACCAGACCTCCAAATAGCAAAAGGGTTGTTAAACAGTAGCAGTCGGTCACTGCCCATTGATAACGAAAAGCAATTTGCACAATAGAGAGAAAAAGTAAAAAAAAATAAAAAGAAAACATATACAATAAAATACAAACACAATACCAAAAAGAGAAAAAACCGGAGAGAACCTTAAGCCGAAGCACAACATAGCACCCACGCAGGAGTATTAACAAGAACAAACAAAAATACGCGGAGCGCGAACCTAACCTGAAGTTACCAGGACCATAGAAAAATGCAAGAGAAGAAATGCAGTCTACTTATTGATGTTTACAGCACATCGAGGTCTTTTACGGAACGAGTGCAGAGAAATATCATATTCTAATTGATTTAATGCTTGGATGACAGAGTTACTAGAGCTATTTAGTGACGAATAAAAATTTGTTGCAATTTTAGCCACATATTCCCTAAAAGTAGGCATGGAAAGAGCATATTTAATTTCGGCGTTTCTAAAATACCATGGGGCATCAACAATCATGCGAATAACCTTGTTTTCAAGTCGTTCTAAAATAATAAAATTGCTTTTGGCTGTAGAGCCCCAGACTGGACTCGCATATGCTATTATCGGACGAAGATAAGCTAAATAGATTAGTGTTTTTAGTTCAATTGTTAGTTTAGAATGTCTGCCCAAGACAGAGTAAAATTTACGTAAAACAGTATTAAATTTATCGCGCAAGTAGTTAATATGAGCCTTAAATGTTAGTCGTCTATCAAAAATTACACCTAATATAATCTGTTGAACATTATATTAGGTGTTTTATATAATCTGTTGAACACTTACAAAACTATGCTTACAGTAGAGCAGTATATCGTGCTGCCATCTATTAGATTCGGAAATAATGAATACCTAAATAATTTATGTTTTATTTATTAAAGCACATATCAATTATTTGTTTGGATAAAATACTATTATTATGATTTATAAAGAAAATAAATAATATATTTTATTTCGATTCACAAGGTTTTCTTCAATTAAAATCTTTAAATAAATAAGTTTAATCAAATTTTATCTTCATAATGACCTGGTTGCGACAGAATAAACGCGACCTGCAATATCTTCTATTATTGTAGTCGTTCTGCAATTCCTCTCGTGGCCCTGTGGTAATATACACAGCCATCCTACAAGTGAGTTCAGGTTCGAACTGGGCTGCATGTCTGGGAGTTTTCTTGATTTTACACATAACCTCACGCAACTGTCTTCCTGGAAGCAGCATGTCTGTAGTATCAATCTTCCTTAATCACCTACCCGTAAACTGGTTGTGTTGTTTGTTGTTGTTGTTTCTTATCCCACTTGGCTGGCCAAGCCCACGAGCCCATACGTGCTCATGATTGAAGGGGAAGGAAGCAGCTTCTGTTGTGATGGAGCACCTGTAGGTAGAAGCCTGACTTTTGCTCCGTGACGCTCTTACAGTCATAGGAGACCGGGACCTACGGCTTAAAGTGGATTCCGAACCACTACAAACATCCATGGCACCGCCAGGATTCGAACCCGAAACCTGTGGCACCGAGTGCCAGAGCGCTAGACACTCGGCCATTCAGGTCCCAAATTTGCCAACGGCAAGCGGTGTTCCCAGGTGGTCACCCACCCAAGTACTGACCGCGCCCAATGATGCTTGACTTCGGTGATCTAACGAGAACCGGTATATTCAGCATGGTATGGCCGTTGGCTAAACAGGTTGTAATATACATAAAGTTACTATAGTAAAATTAGTATACATTAACTAAGATCTCACGTCACAGAATGTCAGCCAATCAGAAGTCTCATCTTCTACCCATTCGGACTTCAGATATATTGAGAATCCAACTTATATGTAAAATACGAGGCCTACTATTGTAACAAAAAAAAAAGAAAATTAGGGACTCTTTGTCTTGCCACCATCGGAATCGAACACATGTCCTCCTGTAATCTTAGTTGTGCATCATGAAAGAGATTTATTCAATATTTTTAGAATGTTTTTACTAACTTTTTCAAAAGCTTTTTTTACTAACTTTTTCAAAAACTTTTTTTAAACTTTTAATGATCTACAGATAATCAGAGCTCTAACTATTGCTACTTTTAGAAACGATAAGACTCGATGAAGATTTAGTATAATGGATTTAAGCATCTCGCATCGACAGTTCGATGAGAATTTTCCAGCTTTGTTTCCCATAAGAGATTCAATTAAGGAGCAGTTTCGCTTAAAAGGTCTCTTTAAATTGGCGGACTATCAGTTATATTATTACTATAGAAAACTACTTTTTACCCTACGTCGAAAACAAAAAAGCATGTCCATTAGTGCCTTATTCTTGGCAGAGTGTTAACAGATGCAGCTGGTAAGCGGGTAAGATTTCTTTTCGAATATGCTTACATCATCCGTTATAGTGATTTCTTTCAATAACTAGTTGATTACAAGAAAAATGAGAATATGAGCATGCGCTGCGCATTGGCTGCCAGAGTTTTTCTAATTTTCTCCTATATGACACGTAAATGCAGGGTCACGTAAACCTAAAAGACATCCCGGAAGACAATGTCCTCCTTTTTTAATACGCTTTTATTAGTTTCACCTGTATGTTTGTACGTTTGTATGTATGTTTGTATATATGTAACTGACTTTTAGAACAGTGACATTCTTTTTCTCGTCAGTCATTTTATTCTTATGTTAAATTATTTTTTACTTTTTAGTTTGATTAACTCTAAAAGCGTGTTTTTTAGTTTTTTTAAACTATTCATTTATTTGTGACCTGGTGGACAATTGGCTAGCTCGCTGGCCATTGGTACCACGGGTGTCAGGTTCGAATACTGATGGTGACATAGATGTTTGTGAGTGGTTCGGAATTCACTTTAAGCTGTAGGTACTGGTCTGTTTAGTCCTCGTATACACAAAACGACCGTAGAGCTACAAACCAAACAAAACCCTTCATCACATGCGAATGGATTATAACACGATATGTAAAAAATATAAAGATCATATAAAACTGTCTCATCCGTACAAGTATTACCACTCGACTCGTAGCCCTGTGGCATCGTTCGCACCCGGTGTACAGAAGGGCCAAGGTTCGAATTCCTTGGAGGAATTGTTTTATTCACTGATTTCTGAAATGAGATGGTTTAATAGAGATGGTGACAATGTGTGTAAAACCGTCTCGCACCGGTAGTTAAGCTGCCTGGTGAGAATATTCCGAGTTTTCGTTCATACAACACAAAAATGTGAGACAATTATCCCTAAAAGTCTTATTGGAAGGTATGGTCCTCACCGGTCAGTGGGCTGTTTGTGATGTACCCCGAGGCCCACCATGTTCTAACTTCATCTTTGTAACCGGTGCACGGCTACATAACCCTGGGTGTGGAAAAAAAAAAAGGTACACGTGTTATCAAATTTATTTTAGCTACATGAAGCAAATATGATTCATAATTAAAATTTTTAATAACTTTTATTCTTAAAAAAGAAATCCTACTGCAATTTTAAACTATCAATATTATTGTAAGAACAATACGATTTCAAAATAGTATTAGTCAGTAGTCGTTATACAATGTTTCAAACATTTTTTTTTGTAAATTCACAGATATTGTTCGTTTATTTGCTTTTCATAAAAATAAATTTACTTACATTTTTTTCGAAATTTATTTAGAGCTTTTGTATTTTTCCAATTACCAATACAATTAATTTTCAATTAACAAATACAAAAAAAAAAAATTAATGGAATTTTCTGTAATTATAAGCAAAACGTACTGGCATTAAAATAATAATTAAAAAGCAAAACATTATTAATATATTTTAGAGTTACTAAAGTATTCTAAATTCTTAATTTTCCAATTTCTAAAAGCAACTCTTTCAATAATTCCGCCTTCATAGTTGACTTTGTTATTGGCCTTTTTTCTATTTTTATACTCAGCAGCAAAACTATTTTGTTGAATCTTAATATTTCACATTTTGGATTATCTAATAATTGACGATCCTTTTTCGAGTGAATAGCTATTAACAATTTGAAACGAATATTTTTTAAATTTATAAATATAAATCAAAATCATTTAATCGTAAAAAGATTTATATGAAGAATTTTAGAAGAATTTTTTAAGTTCGTTGTAAATAAAGCTCTGAACCAACCAACCAAACTCTGAAGTTAAACCAACTAGTTAAAGGGAACGTTAAAAAGGTTTAAAAAAGTAATGTAAAACATGTGAAAATTTTTAAAAGAAGAAGAATTTAAAAATAAAAAAGTTAAGAAAGTTTTAGCTAGAAAATTACAATTTAAGTTAAAAAACAAATTATTAAATGTGTGAAAAAGATAAAAGTTCAAAAATTTAGAAAATGGAACATTTGAGAAATGAAAGAAATTGTTTTTAGAAAAGTATAAAAGTTTTGGAAAATGTGTCAAAACTCATTAAAAAAGGAAAAATAAGTGAAAATTAAGTGTTCAGAATAGTTTTGTCATCTTTTGTGTGTAATGTTTCTGGAATCATAATTAGCAAGAATTTGAAGCTTCAGGAATTGTGAAGAAAAAATTATTTGGAATGGAGTTAGGAAGGATCCACTATGCATCCTCCGGTTTTAGTGCTTGAAGTGAGCGGCATGCTGGTCTGGCATGCTAGTCAGATACAATTGATGACTCATATTGTATGTTTTTTATGTTCTGCTGCAAACTGTTTATTCATATGCATGTAAGCTTGTTTTATCCAAATTCCTTTTATTTTATTTTATTTTCTTTTTTTGTTTTAAATTTAACCTACTATCTTTTTTTTTTTTTTTGGAGGGGCGGGGGGCATCGTCAACGGACTCCTAATTGTACCGATAGCTTTAGCTTTTCCGATCTCTTGCTTTAATTGTCTTTTAATTGTTTTATTTTTTTATTTATTAATATTCTCTAATTTAAGCAACTTCATTTTGTGCAAATATTTTAACTCAATTAAGATGTGGAGGTATTGTGGTTCTTAAATCCCCCTAGGAACTCCGTAACCGGCACGCCCGTTGCCCCACTATGCATTCCCACGAGAATTATATAGCGAACAGCGTAAGAAAAGGAAAAGAGAAATAATTAAATAAACTTTACTGGATATATGTGACAACCATTAGCGTATTCTATCTTTTTAAAAATTTCAAGTTGGTCAGTTGTAGTTTAAGCTTTAAGTTGTAGAAAATAAATTATACGTTTGTATCAACATATCTTCTCAATTCTAACATTTCAATATCAAAACGAATTGGCGCAGAGTTAAAGTGATGGACTCCTGACCGAAAGGTTGAGGGTTCGAATCTGACACTAGGCTCAATTCGCTATTTTTATATTTTTGCTACGTTGTGCACCATAATCCTATCATAACGACTAGTGAATAGTTAGGTTTTTATTGTACGCTTTTTTACCCCCTTTTTTTTTGTTAGGAAAACAAAAAGATAGAATAAAACCAAATAAAATAAAAATAAAAATTATAAAATATATAAAAATCGGTTCTGATTTCAGCCTTTTTTTTTTGTGTGTGTGGATAATTTATTTACTTTTTAGCATCACTCGTCAAGTTCGCGGCTAATTAGTAAACAAAACGAATTGGCGCTGAGGTAAAGTGACGGACTCCTAACTGTAAGGTTGAGGGTTCGAATCTGACACTCGGCTGAGTTCACTACTTTTATATTTATGCTACGTTGTGCATCACAATCCTATCTTAACGGCTAGTGAATAGTTAGGTTTTTATTGTACGCTTTTTTACCCCCTTTTTTTTTTGTTAGGAAAATAAAAGGATGGAATAAAACCAATAAAATAAAAATAAAAATTATAAAACTGAAAAACTTTTAAAAATACGGTCATGTTTACGGCCTTTTTTTTTTGTGTGGACTAATCTATTTACTTTACAGCATCAATCTACAACTGCTCTCACCGTTCAGCATAATCCCTGTGTACTTGGTTTAAATGAGTTCATGACTCTATTTACGTTATTCAATAGTTCGGCATCGACAACTGGTCCCTAATTGTACTGAATTTAAATTTAATTTTGACTTCTTTTATTTCGTATTTTACGTTTTTATTAGTATTTTTATCTTTTTTTTTTTTAGTACCCTTAAACTTGAATTTTTAGAAACTTTATTTTGTATTTCTACTAACCTTAATTAAGCAGCCAATTAAAATTTAAAGCATATTTATGAATTAAGATGAGGAGGTTTAAGGGGTATTTCCCCTGTTGGTACTCCGTAATCGATACGCCAGTTGACAGTTGACAGTCATCACGGCTCCCAACGTTCAGCATAACCCTTTGTGTACTATTACCTCACAATGAGTTTACAAAACTCTATTTACTTGTTCAATAGTTTTGGCATCGACAACTGATCCCTAATTGTACTGAATTTAAGTTTAAGTTTAATTTCTTTTATTTTGCATTTTACTTTTTTTATTATTTGTATTTTTTTTATTTTATTATTTTATTTATTTATTTTTATTTATTTATTTATTTTTTTTTTGAATACCATTTAACTTGAATTTTTGAAACTTTATCTTCTATTTCTAATAGCATTAATTAAGCAGCCAATTAAAATTTAAAGCATATCTATGAATTAAGATGAGGAGGTTTAAGGGGTATTTCCCCCTATTGGTACTCCGTAATCGGTACGCCAGTTGCCAATAATCAAATTCACCTTATGTTCACCTTTTTTTGGAATCTAGAAATTCTTTCATAAAAGTTTCAAAGTTGCAGATTACGCAGA